AGCCTGAAGAACTGTCGAAGCTGGGGAGCGCACATTCAAACAAGTAAGCAGTCGATCTCCTATCGTAACAACCCACATGGGTTTTTTCTCTGGATAATCAAACTGGAAATAACGGTATTTATTTAGTAGAAGGGAAATTGACTTACTGGAGAGGTTATTAAAAGTCTACCACCGGGATTCGGTAAAATTTCGAGCTCGAAATGTAGTTTTTTGTAATCTTTGAGGCGAAATAGTTTTTGACCAAGGGGTTTTTCCAGAAATCTCAATATTCTACTAAACTCTCTATATATATTTATGGTTAAGTCGCTTAACTCCATTTTATGATCATTAATACGACGCCTTTTAAACTTCAAATAAATCAGATAAAATAACAAAGAAAGAAATCTAGTCCACTTTAAATTTGAAAACGAAATGGTTTTTGATCATTACTTGATCATTAATTATTAAGCAAAAAAATGATTATTGAGAACAAGTTATAATAAGTCCATGTATTTTGATAAGGCTCATAGCCTTCTCATAGACCTAACAATGTTCCCAGGTCATTTCCCATCAAGCTGACCACATGTGCATTTGACAATTGAAAATTAATAAAAGAGGGTCGAGGCCCAGATCGAGATTACAACAAGCAGCTTATCGATTTGGTTACTTTTTATTTGACAAACAATGAAGTGATGTCAGAAATACTAAGCTGTAGACTGAAAACACTAGGATGAATAAAGAGATGCCAACTTCCAGGTTGCATGAATTAGACGAAGGCGCTTATCGCTGACAGAAGAGTGGGCACGTCATCGCAAGCACGCACGCCAGGATTTTGAGGTGCGGCGTAAGTAATGACACAATTCTCATAGAGTATTCCTTTATTTATTTATAACAAATGGCAGGCGTTTTGATAGTTATCATTAGCCCTTTTGTTAACTTCAAGCTTCACAGAGGGAAGGAACACCAAAGGAAAAAAAGTCGAGAGGGGGTCGGGACAGAAGAGTGTTTCAAAGATATAAATGAAACAGATAGACACAAAGCCAGAGGAAAAAGGTGAGGTGAGTACTGTGTAAGTAGATGAATATGACATACAATGGAGTGATGGTAGTTTGGCAACATATACAATCAACGCAACCCACAGCATACTCTCTAGGTCCTGATGGTTGCATTCTGAAGCAAGGCTATATAGAGGGGTTTTGGTTGAGGAGTTTGGCACAGTTTAGTCAAGGTCCATTTGTTCTGTATCCTCTACATATCCCAATAAAATTGGATCAAGAGTACCTTTCCCTTCATAGAGCAATATCAAAAATACAGAAGCTTAAACCAATTGGACGGAACCAAGGTGAAGTTAAATCTTATCGTACATATGAATTCTCAAACAGACCTCTCAATAACAAAAATCCTCTCATCCGAATCAATATTACACCTTTCCTCAAACATATTTCCATGCCAACTCTATTTCTCCCTGGACTTTGAAATGCTATAGTCACAAAACACTACGTCATTTGTTAAATAGCTGGGATTTAAAATAACAAGCTTTATTTTAAAAGTAAACAAACTGGCTTTAATTCCAAGTGCCTCAGTTTGCATATCTATTCCGTTCACGTTGAGCTGCGCTTTCTTCGAATTCACAACGATGTTTTAAATGTTAGAACCTTGGCAACTATCAACGCCCAAATCTGTGGACATAGGTAAACGGTGCTTAGGCTCAACAGAAACTGGGAAGTTCAGATCCACAACGAATAGGGCTGATGAATTGCTGTATTTCAGCAAGAAAGTTCACCGGTTTGTGAGTTGCAATATAGGTACTGAAGATCGATAGGTTTTGGTGAGAAGATGAAAATGCATTATTCCCCCCCACAAGTGCTTGTAGAAATACTGAACTGAAGAGTGGAGTGATAGATTAATGATATTCTATTCTTCCAACTGTTCGTATGTTCGCATTCAAGCAGAACTGCTTCATCAGTTTCTTCTTACGTAAAAGGAAACGAATAAGATAGTGCAAACGCTGTTCGCTTATGTTGCCTTCTACTTGCACCTCTGCAATTTGATTGATAATTGCGCCGACGAAAGGAACGCTTCCCACTCCAACCAAGAGGGTAGCATATACACCATTGGCCAATGTTAAAATTAGCTGCAGTTCAAAATACACGTCNCTGTATTTCAGCAAGAAAGTTCACCGGTTTGTGAGTTGCAATATAGGTACTGAAGATCGATAGGTTTTGGTGAGAAGATGAAAATGCATTATTCCCACCCACAAGTGCTTGTAGAAATACTGAACTGAAGAGTGGAGTGATAGATTAATGATATTCTATTCTTCCAACTGTTCGTATGTTCGCATTCAAGCAGAACTGCTTCATCAGTTTCTTCTTACGTAAAAGGAAACGAATAAGATAGTGCAAACGCTGTTCGCTTATGTTGCCTTCTACTTGCACCTCTGCAATTTGATTGATAATTGCGCCGACGAAAGGAACGCTTCCCACTCCAACCAAGAGGGTAGCATATACACCATTGGCCAATGTTAAAATTAGCTGCAGTTCAAAATACACGTCTTCTCGTGTTATCGGTGAATTAGAACGGAGCTCTGTCCAAATGCTTAATTGCTAGAAAGCACTGAATTGCAAAAAATTGACTGACATTCTTGTGCGATTTGACACTAGGCTCGACAGCGAATCTTCGTCTTAGCTCAAGAACTGGCGGAGGAAGGGGAAGACGCCGACTGGTCTAAATTGGTTATTCAAGTAGACAAGTACCGAGACAGATTGTTGCAGGCGTGGAAGGCCGGAAATGACGAGTTGGGTGCAGAAAACCGACCTCCTTCATGGAGTTTCTGGGGCAGTCTCTATTATTGCATCACTCTCTTCACCACAATAGGTAGGGCACTGAGAAGTTATAGGAACTCGAAGTGTTGGATAGAATATTGACTCCTATTCCACCTTATTTCAGGCTATGGCAATGTGTTTCCCAGTACAAACACAGGGAGAATCGTGACAATTTGTTACGGGTTAATCGCTATTCCACTATGCACAATGGTGATTAATCGAATCTCCAAGGTGATAGCACGAATTCTCAAGGCCATTTATTTAATGACCTTAGATAACAGTGGGATTCCGGTTGGTCTAAGAGATGCCTATCATCGAGCAGGAACAGATTTCGACTTTTCGGTGAGTTCAACCTTGATTCCAACACAGACTAATGCATATATCAACATCGTGAAACTCCATCTGTCGAAATGAACCATCCAAACATGTCACGCATCACCTAGTCATGATAAAGGAATGTTGAGAATTTCGACCCTGCAAAACCCTTAAACACCTAGGAAGAGTAAGATACTCCATCGGTTTTCCCATCTTATCCACAACTGAATCATTGAACTGCTCTCTTAGTTTAGTGTATAATTGCATGGTTGTCGTCCATAGAGTTCGGCTCGCTTAGAGAGAGACAGCTTAAACGCACCTGTCAGTTATCTCTCAATTTACACATTTTCCTAGTTAGTGATACTTGAACATTGTTCTTAGTGAATAAGGTAACGAAAATGCATTGGGTTGCATTCTTC